CATAAACTAAACAGAACACCTTACACTCAATTTGTTGGCACCACTGATGATCATATTTGCAGTTGCATAATCTCACACACTTCCCCAGAAACCCATTTTAGCAATAAGCAACACTTTTTACTTTACAGCTTTGCACCACACAGGAAGGAGCTTTGACCATTCCTTTTTGCACAATCTCTTTTGACGGTTTATCCTCAGTCCTATCTTGTCTGTAGGTCAGCTCACAGATTCTCTATGGTATGTAGGCCTGGGAACTGAGTTGGTCTTAAAAGACTGTTTTCATCATTATCCTGAAGCCACCCCAGCCCGGTTAAGACCACTTTGATCGAACTCCAGTCTGTTTGCTTGCAAAGTCCGATTGTGGACCAAAAAAGCGAACTCTGGTCCGCCTATAAACCAAAGTCTCTGCTCGGTTGAAATGAGCTCTGGTGTGGTATGAATGCATTTGTGATTTCCAAGTGGACTGGAGACTGCTCCAGAAGTAGGAAGTGGACTACAGCACAGGGCATTCTGGGTAAATACAACCAAAAATAACCACACTTAAAGGAAAAATGTCTTCCAAATACAAAAGAGAAATACTCCAACCTCTAAAATCTGTTGCTACTCCATTTTTGTGTACATTTTCTGAAGAAGGAAGTTACGCTCATGTCTTCTTCTGAGGTGTTCATGTTATTTCCTTCAGTAGTTCTTGGTGCAGCGCCACCAGATGAGGGAGTGAACAGCTTTTTCAAGTATTTGGTTCTCAGAGCCTTTACTTTTACAGATCCTGCACTGTTAGTAGGAAGGGATTTCCTATATGTTCATTATTTGTTTTAAGTCAAACTCTCTTAGGGTGTTTGTGAAAATCTCCGTCTTTGCCCTTATGACCAAAGTTTCGACTTCCAGTAGAGCTTAACAAACCCTAGATGCTTATGTTTGTAATGGAAGGACAAAAAATACATTTTTTCTTTCATCACTTCCAAACAACCAGTTGATAGCATCTGCTAGTCTGAACAGAGACTTGCCTGGTCCTGAAAGTAGAAAATCCGAAACATTTCCACAAAAACAGGATTAGTCAAAAAACTTGATTCCTAGTAATTCTTTGTAAAAATCCTCATAACCCTTCTTGTTCTGTCAATAACATCCCATATGATGCAGTCCTTTGAAAGGTTTCTGCTTTATGTTGCTGTGTGCTGTAGGAAGCTGGTCAAATTGAAAACCCCAAATCTGAAAATTAGTGAGAAGGCACTGCTCCAGCTCAGGATTATGTTTATTTGACCAAATATTGATAGTCCTTCTGATTGTTACTGCTTCTCCAAATGATTTAATAAACATGCTGAACAGATCTATTTTTATATTACAATTCATCCCTTTCTTTTCTTTCAGGTGAAGCTTTCATTCCATTGTACTATGGGAAGGCCATAGACAGTATTGTGGTTCACCAGAGCATGGAGTACTTTGCTAAACCTGTAGCCACATTGGCTTCACTGGCTTTGGTCAGGTGAGTGTGTCAAAGTCTACATCAGTTGGTAGAAGGGGGAAAAATTAGGACAATTCCAAGGGCCCCTGACCGACAGGGGAGCCCCCATAAAATTATTTTTTTCTTCATAGCAATAGAAAATAACCAACCAACCTCCTCCATCCTCCTCCACCTCACCTTCATACCCCCCAATATTGGAATTGGGATGAGTTCATGGTGTTAGGGTGGTTCTGATTTATTCTTTCTGTAGACTTTTGTCCATAGTCAATAACCCCAATTTACATGATTTTGGAAATTTGGGGGGAACCAGAGCACCCAGAGAAAACCCACACTAACACAAGAAGAACATACAATCGTCCAAAGAAGGAGGCGCTTGGTTAAGAACTAAGATCTCTTTTCTGTATAGATGCAGCACTAACCACTGCATCACCATGCTGACCTGTTTTTGTTGGTCCAAAATGTGAGATGTATTTTGAGGTTTTGGCAATGGTTCAGGACTGACATGAACAATTCAGTCTTTCCTTCATTCTCTTTTTCTCTTGTCCACTGATCATTGCTTCAGATGGTTGGCCCCAAAGACTTAAACTCATTCACCTTTAATCCATCCATCCATCCATCCATTTTCTTTACACCCTTGTCCCTCAGTGGGGTCGG